CCTGAACCCTGTCGCCCGCTCCCACAGAGGTCCCGAGGCTCCGAGTCCAGCAGAGGTCTGATCAGCACTGGAGACGGCAGGACGGGGACACTCAGTTGGGACAGCATGGGGACACCCAGCAGGAGGGGGCTGTGGCTGCCCAGACAAGACTCGAGTGGTGGTGGCACTGGTCTGAATGTGCGACAAGGGTCTCAGCCAATTCTAGGGGGGCCCAGCCCACGGACTGCACCAGGAACCTGGGCCTTAGACACAGTCCCCAAACAGTCGGTTACAATCTAGCCAAAACGCTCACTATCACTCAGACACTCCAACAAAAACACATTTCCAAACATGGGCAGTGATCAAAACCAGGGGCCACTGCTGCCACCACAGGGCTCCAGTGACCCCGTCCCCTGAGACAGGCTGCTGGACCTGTCCACCTGGCTCTGTGTGGGCCTCACTGGCATCCGGGCTGTCAAAGCCACTGTCTGGTCCATGTCCTTGAACAGAAACGTGTCCTACACCCGGAACCCAAATCCCGAACCAAAAGCACTTTTATCAAGAAAATGCCACCATTGTCGCTCACTGAGGGGGGAGGAGGAAGGAGAAGAGCCCTGGGGTGGGGGCACAGGTCACCGAGCAGGCACCTGTGGGGGGTGGGGGTGGGGGATGATGTGACTCTTTCTCCTCAAGATGAGACCACTCACTCTTCCATCACCTTTCTACCAAAGCAGGTCCTGTGGCTGGCATTCCCCAGATGCGACCCTCTTCCCAAGAACACGGGAAGCCGGCTAATCCCCTGCCCCTCGCTCTTATCTAAGGCCATTATGCAGGAGCTTGCAGGCTGGTCAGAGAGAGACTCCCATGGAAGAAGCCCATCCCATTGTGTGCAAGGGAGGTGAGAGCACCGCCCCCCAACCCCCAATCTTGGCGTTATCCCTGCCAGAACAGCTGCCACTCCCACCCTTGGGTGGGCCCACTGTGACCCCTCACCTCACTCATCATCTGTGCACCCATAGGTTGGGACTTCTCACCTGATCCACATCCGTGCTGACCCAACCTGACCCCTCCCTGCACCCCAGGGTGGACCCAACGTGATGCCTCACTCCACCCTACCCGTCACACCCTGGACTCAGCGAGCGAGCAAGATCCCAAAGGTGATGTCCCTGAACATTGACGCTGCTGCGGAGTAAAGGGAGTGCGGTTGTCGCAGGCTGCACCGGCCCGGCAGGGTGGCCTCCACCAGGCTGTTAGGCATCGGAGAGTGTGTGCTCCCACAGGGCCCTCCCCTCAAGACAGCAGGCCCACGCCTCCAGTCCGTGTGGTCCGCGCCCCAGCCCCAGCCCCATCAGTATTGACATGCAGAGGTTTTAGCTAAGACAGTGCTTAGAGGACTCCGTCACAGCTTTCCAATAAGTCAGACAATACAATCAGACTGCGGGCGGCACCTGAACTCCTTGGTGCTCCCCAAGGCGGGGGAGGCGGACAGGCTGCGGGACTTGGCCCGGCCCCGGATGGGATGGCTGTGGCTCCAGTCCTCATCCCCGTGGCAGGCTGTGCAGCAGTATGGGGTCAGGTCCGGGCTCAGCTCCCGGCTCAGGCTGTTCTTCTGCTCCATGGCCACAGCTGGTGGGCGGGGCTGTCGAGGGGCAGAGACACGCCGGTACCTGGATTCATGGACACAGAACCCCAACAAAGTCATGAATAAACACCCAGGTGCAGCGACCCGGCACGCACAGAGACACACTCCTTCCATGGAGCGAGAGCCGGTCACGTCCAAGTCACCAGAAGCACTGACAGCGCTGCGCGTCTCGAGGGCTTCTCAAGGCCTTCCGGGGTCCGAAGACAAGACATACCAGGCTGCGCTGGGCGTGTCCATCGCAAACCAGGGCAATGGGGTCACCTGCTAGGGGGAGGCCACAGCCCAAGGCAAGAGCCAGATGATACCCCACAGGTAGCCTGAAGGTGACAGGGCTCCAAAGCTGGAGAAACACACCTGTGGGAGCGCTTACCCACACCAACACACCAACGCTGAAGAGGGGTAAGTGACAAGACCGAGCCAACAGGCAAATACTGAATGAGTAGGCAGTCTTAATCCAGCCCCCATGAAACAAACATTGACCAGCGTGACTGAAGCAGCCTCTAGGAGAGTTTCCAAGTCCTCGCGGTAGTTAAGGATGCGAAGTCTGACTTCCACACGATCCAGTCAGACCCAACAGTACAAAGACAACCATACCCTACCCGCTGGGACGCTGCCACTTTCTCCAAGCCAACTGAGGGTCAAGGAGACGCCACCAGCCTACTGCCAGCAGTCGATTCTCACCCTAGGGGACAGGGCAGAAGTGCCCCATGGGTTTGAGAGACGACCTCTTTACGAGGTAGGAAGAAACGTCATCCTTCTCCCTCAGTGGCTGGTGGTTTCGAACTGCTGGCCTTGCAGCTAGCAGCCCCAGGAGTAACCACTACTGCCCCAGGGCTCCTAAGGGAAGTCAAGCTCAACATGACGCCCACGCTGTGAAGAGACCACCTGCTGGAGGAGAGGAAATACTGAGAAAGGACGGTCTGACAGGGGTTCCACAGCCCCGAGTCAGGACGAGTCAACAGCAAATCAACCAAACCCCCCCAGCAACTCATGCGGGGCCCAGGGCTTGGAGTGGCGTCTCCTCCACGGCGGGCGAGCGACCGGTGGAAACGGCCTCGTTATTCACTGGGACACGCGACCCAAACCACAGTCAGATTCCACTTCACACACTAGGGTGGCTGTGATCTGAAAAACGGCAAGTGGCGACACCAGAAGCCAGGCCGCGTCCACGCCTGGCGGGGATGGGATGGCAGCGGCTCTTCATAGGGTGGAGCATGGACGGTGCCATGGGAGCTGCTGCCCACTCCACACCCGGGCATATTCCCACAGCACAGACAGACTTGCATGCCCAACTTCACCACAAGACTGCTTACACATGACAGACAGCCGCAAGGTCAAAGTAAGCCAAGTGTCTACAGACAGACTACTGGATGGGCAAAGTCCGGTCTGCCCGTCGAGGCCCACTTCCTCTAGAGGCGTGCCGTGTCAGGTTCATGTGGATGGTGGGGGAGTGTTTTGGATGAAGACAGAAGACATGTGCAGTGTCACTGCGCGGTTCGTGTGGAAGTCGTGTAGGTGGGGCAAGGCTCAGGCGCACAGCGCGCACACAAGGAAGCAAAAACACCCAAATGCTAAGTCATTTGTTTCCCAACCTCTTCTTCACCCGGCCTGAGAAACAAATGAGCGCAAAGTCTGGTGTGTGGGGAGGGTAAGGGCTACATGAGAGTCTGCAGTCTCATAGTCTAGACACTGCGGCGGGCGGGCCTTCCATCACGCACACCCTTCCTGGAAGATCCCTGAGCGTTCGACTTCCGTCACTCCGGACCAGCAGTTCCGGGCAGCCTTGGGGACTCAGACTGTGTCCCTTTCAATGTTCTTTGAGTCTGGGGAGCAAAGAGAAGTCTGAAGGGGGAGTCGGAGCTGTCAGGTGGACATGCGAGCGAGACGGAGTATTGCACTGTTGTGATGCAACCGGGTCCCCTCTTCTTTTCACCACTGCCTTTTTCAATTTTCTGAAAACTTCTTGATAATAAGGCCCCGTGGCAATCCTGTGTCTTCTGAGAAAACCCCTCCGGAGTCCCCCGAAAGAGTCACCATCCCTTCTGAGCTGCCCTCTCTGCCTTGAACTTCGCCGGCGCACAGAGCCCCTCAGCCGCACCGCTCAGCCTGTCTAGTGAGGCGCTCCGAGGAGCCTGAAACCAGCTGCAACTGCGAGCGCTCGCCAGCAGTCAGTCACCCACGGATGGCAGGGACGTGTTTCAGTATGCCTTATTTACACGCACAACCCGGAACCCCATGAGAACACTTCTTTTTGACTTAATCACATCAATTTCCCAACACAGGAGGGTCAAAAGTCACACAATGGATGTATGCATGGATTGTGATAAGCGTTATACGAGCCCCCAATAAAATGATGAAAAAAAGAGAGAGTCAAAAGTCAAATAAAAAAACAGGTGACAGAAGCACTGTTACAACACGGGCAGGCTTTGAAACATCCGGCTGAGTGGGGGGACCAGGCCCAGAGGCAGGGGGTGCGATGCCACTGGCTGGGCCATGCCTAGAGCAGGCGGAAAGCAGACGAGAGGTGACTGGGTTCAGGGGAGGTGGACATGGGAGGCATTGCTTCACGCACCAAGGTTCGGTTTGAGGTGACGGAAATCTCTGGGGACATTGCACAACCCTGTGAACGCGTGAACTGTCTACGGAAAATGGCCCGCATGGCAGCGTTCATGCGCCGTAGGTTTTGCCACCAGCGAGATGTTTTAAAAGCGATCTCTGCAGGAAACCGCTACGCCCATCGAGGCAGACTCCACTGAGAATCACGGTGATGGGCCAAGGAGCCCTGAGTGAAGCTACAAGTGGAAGACTAGGCAAGGCGGAGGGCAGTGGGAAACTCCCAAAGCACACACCCTGCCACCGCGTCGATGCCGATTCAGTGATCCTTCGGGACAGGGCAGAACTGCCCTTGCGATACGGGAGTAGAAAGGCCCGTCTTTCTCCTGAGGAGCAGCTGGCAGCTTCAAGCTGCGGACCTCGTCTTGCGGGTAGCAGCCCAATGTGTAACCACTAGGCCACCAGGCTCCCCAGGACAGAGGTGGAGCCAGTCCATGGACACGATCTGGAAAGATGTGCCCAGTGGCTGCACTTATGCACAGCCCCTGGAGAAACGAGGGGCTACCCGCGTAGAGGAAGGGCAGAAGTAACCCTAGTGAACTGCAAACCTGGGTCGAAAGGGATGCTTTCCCAAGACAACTGCCAGCCTGGGACCAGGGAACAAACCCACAGGTGGCAGATGCGCAGCCTGAGGTTGGCCGCGCCCTCAGCCCCTGGCCTCCGGGCCGCTCCCAGCATAACCTTGACCTGAAACCCACCAGAGGGAGAGAAATGGAACAAAACAAACCAGACCCTTAGTGGATGGATGCGGACGCCAGAAACCCTGCACCCTGAGAACAGAGCCCAGCAGCGCGCCTAATGAAGCTCACGGTGGGATCGCACAGCAGAGGAAGCAACAAGGTCCCGGCACTGGCGGCGACTTCTCCCCTGGGTTCTTGTGAAAGTGGCGCAATGAACACTTATGTGATGGCGTCTGCTGGCGCCTGCCTTCCCCCTGGGGTCCGAGGCTGCTCTGTGGTGTTCAACGTTTTGAAGACACGGCGGATTTTTCCCCATGGTGGTTGCGCCATTTTATCAGCCATGGATGAGGGCTCCGGTCACAAAGGCACAGTCCCAGGGACCCCCGGGAGCGGTTGTACTCGTCCTGTAGTGGGAAGGGACCTCATGGGGAGGGGTGGGCAGAGGCTCGTGGTGCTGAGCCACCTGTGCGCCCTCCTCTCCCGGGGTGAGCTGGCTGTTCAAGCCCTTTGCCCATGTTTCGGCCTGGGCTGCTAGGTCGTCAAGCTCTGGCAGTTTCAGATGTATTTTGGATAGGAAGCTCTTCGCTACTACACAGTTCCCTTGAATTTGTATGTTGTCTTCTCACTTTGCTGACAAAGCTCTTTGATGACAACAGGTAAATAATTATTATGAGGTCCCAGCCCTCTATTATTCTGTCTTCTGCTACCTCGGCCTTTGCTGTCAGATCTGATGGTCCCTTGTTAAGTGTCAGTCCTACCAGAGTCTTGCCCTGGCGTTCTCGTCTAGGAACGGTGTGGTTTTAATTTTTCATTTTAGGTCCTTTACCCATGTTTGAATGAGCTTATGTGCACGGTTTGAGGCGTGGGTCCTGAACCCTAGCTTTCCCAGCCCCATATGTTGAACAGACTCTTCCTTCATGATAAGATGGATTTAGCAAACTGTCCAAAACCAATCGACCATAAATGCATACGCTTACTGCTGGTCTTTCAATTGGTTTCTATTGATCAATATCTGTATTATTACACAAGTATCAAATGGTTTTAATTATTGTAGCTTTGTAGGATGTTTAGAGATCAGAAGTGCAACTCCTACCAAGGGCTCAAGTAGAAAGCAAATGTTTTGAGAATGATGATGGCAACAAATGTACAAATGTGCTCGACACAATGGATGGATGGATGGATTGTGATAAGAGTTGTACAAGCCCCCAATAAAATGATTTTTTTTTAAAAGAAGTGTGACTCCTAATTTCTTCTTCTTCTTCAAGGTTGTATTTAGCAGTGCAAAGTCTCTTGTCCTTCCTTATATATTTGAGAATTGGTGTTTCCATATCTGCAAAGCTTTTTAGAATTGCTGGTATGCTGTGGATAGTACTGGTGTATAAGGGCTAGCATCGTAACTATATCAAATCTCACGATCCACGAAGACGGAATGCCCTCTCTTTATTCCGTCGTCGTCTTTACTTTCTTAGCCGTGGTTTGTGAGTTCCGTGTACACGTAAGTCTCCCTGGACACACTGTTCTTTCAGGCGTCACTCTCAACGCCGTTACTCCTTTCCTTTTCAGCGCACGCGTAGGTTCAGTCTGCCGCGAGCTCTAGCTACGCGACCACTTCTTGCGGGTTGGATTTGTACGCTGGCACTCCACAGGGTTCACTTATTCGTTCTGTAGCTTCCTGGTAGAGCGTAGGGGTTTTCTCTGTGTAAGGTCACGCATCACTGAAATAGGCACAGTT